CGACGTCGAGCTAATCGGAACGACTCCCAAGCCCAGGCAACCTTCAATCTGCAACGGACGGTTTATGTTCTGGCGTGAGGAGCTTAAGCTTAGCTTGGCGAATCAGGGGAGAGACCAACCATGAGTGCCTGCCGTGCTCACGTCGCAAGAGCTGTAAGTTGCCACTGCAGGCCCGACAAGGTACTGCTCGTCGGGACCCTGGCCGTTGTACACCTCAAGCCCGGGTCTGCATCCCGAAACCCTGTTAATACCCCTAAATCCACCCCCCCCCCCCCCAAGCCTTGCGGTAACTGTCGGCTCCCGATGGCAAGTGCTCAATGCCCGCGATGGCTGTCACCGGGGAGGGCAGCACGGGCGGGGCGCTGCTGGCAATCTGCGAGGTGAACTAGGGAAGACCACAATGAAACTGCTCACAGAAAGTTCTAGCCTGAACTCTACACCCTACCCAGTCTCCTGGATGTCTGCACATTGTACGTAAAACTCGATGTTGACCACCTGACAGATAGGAATCTCTGGGAAGGTTGGGTATGGGCATGGGCTATGGCTTCATGTTTGATTAGGGGTCTAGTGGTGGTTTAATTGGGAGTCATGGTTTAAATCGGCGGGCTAATTCGCCTTTTACAGTTTAGCGTTGAAGAGCCACACCCCCAACGCTTTGAAGCACCTGCACGCCTACTTTGAGAGCATGTTTTGGACGATGTTCAGATGGAATTGGCGTGGTGGCTTCATGATATCTACGGAGTGGGGAAGTATTCAGAATCATGATGAAACAAAGGGTCTAAAGGTTTAGGTAGAATACAAGCTGGTGCTGGTGTGGCGATATGTATCTTTGCCGTGTTCAAGGTGTTTGCAGTTCCGAAGAGCTTCAAATTCGTTGGTTGACTTACTTCCTGTGATACCCGTTATTTAGTAAAGGCCAGCTGTGCAAAAATCATATCGGAATGTGCTTGATGTTGCATTGTGATTTCATCGAACTCAACCAACGGCTGGACATGTTCCTGCTACTGATTTAGAGAGGGGGGGGGGGCAAGAGGGCCATCTCTTCAGCTGTCATCTCGACATCCCGCCTGCTGGTGCCCAGTCCATTCCCAACGCAGCACGCAGTGCTCACACGCAGGCAGCTCTGCGGGCAGCAGCACCGAGGTGGTGACAGAGGAAGGGATGTTCAGGCCTTGAGCACACAACGAATTTCTCTTGACCAAACGAGAGCAGAGCGCGCGCACAAAGACTAAGAGGCTGTCCATCGGCCGCGCCGCAGCCTGGGATCGCGGCAATCTTGAAGAAGTTGACCTTGAATTCCCCACTCACATGCAACAGGCATCAACAGGCCATGCGCAGGCCCCCGAGCCGAGGTACGGGACACCGCCTCCAACAAAAAAAGGTGGAGCACCTAACGCATCTGCCAGGACACCACGTTGGCAGGATCAGGATCATAGCCTCGGGTTCGGGCTGCCACCCCAGAGACAAGTGTACCCACGGTAGCACGAAAATCTCCTACCTGCCACATCCTGAATTCATCAGTGTCTTAAGATATAAATTAAGATATAAGATAAATTAAGATAAACATACAAAAGCTTGAAGTCCGGGGCCCCAGACTGATGTAGAAATAACAGTCGCCAGGATGTCCGGCCTCCATCGTCCAGGTCACCTCCTCGGACGTAGCAAGGGATGTGGCGTTTTGTTGCTTCGAATCTTGTAATGCAACGTAACAGACGGATTAACAGAGACGAGGCTGAAGTTCACTTCGAAAATTTTGGGGGGCTAGTCCGTCGGTTCAGGACTGCAGGATCACATTTATGTTCTGACCTGTTCTGAGACATCTTGGGCAAAGCCCATACAACACACAGCTGCGGCTCGAAGGTGGATCCGGCTTGCAGGGTGGTCTTCGGTCCATCGGAATCTGGCTGAAAATCGTGGCATCGCATACCTCAGCCCATCTCTGCCATGCTCAGGACACCCTGAACAAGGCGCTGAAGACCCGAACCACCGCACCAGCAGCAGCTTGTGTTGCAGCCATGGCTCTCGTGGGCGAGTAACCGCCCCGATTACCGTCAAGTGTGTAGACGGGTGCCCGCTGTTCATGGCTTTCCTGGCTTTGTCAGCGCGGGCCACCCGAAGCCCCCATTTCGTGGACCCCCATTTTTGCTAAGCCAAGGTCCAAAAGGTCTTAAGGTATTATTGCTATTGATGTTACTATGACTATTCTTCTTATTGATATTATTACTGCTAATACCATTGCTGCTATTTCTACTTTGTTCATTACTATTATTAACCATTATTACTATGATGTTTACCATTATTACTATTATTGCTACTATATTACTACTGCTGTACGATTCTTACTAGCATTACGACTATTACCGTTATTTTGTGTTGCTGAATCCAGCCAGGTTACCCGACGGCCCAGGGAGTCTCCACGAACCACTGGCACCTTGGACTTACTCCTTCGGAGCATCGTATGACAAGCCCTGTTGTGGTGGGGGGGGCTGCTCTCCACTAGGCGTCCTCAAAAAGGAACCCTCCTAGGTGGCCCTTGAGGCGAGATTGTGCGACATTGCAGCCAAAGAAGGCGGGCACACTCCCTGATTGGTAGATGCTTCCCCGTGTTGACTACACTCGCATCTCCTCGACCCATACTCTGCAGCCTCGATGTTTCTTGTCTTGACCCTTCTGACTTTTCAGATGGCAGGTTGCGCATTACAACTCTCTCCCCTGGGTTCAGGCTTGCATTATGTCACTATGGCCCCGTTTGGCTGCACTACAACAGGAACATCAAAGGGACGCGAAGTTACAGAAGTGACCATATAGCTCAAGGAAGCAGAAAGCCCTTCTGAGGGTTTAGGGTTTAGGGTTTCCCTCCATCCTAACCCTGTATTCTGTAGGCCCACCCATGCGAACCCCTGAACCATTTGAAGTTCTTCTGAAAATTCGGCTTGCAACCCTCAAGCCCGTAAAACCAAAATCCTAGAAACCCTGACCAACCCTCAGCCGCAAACTTTCAGAAGCTAAAGCACAGTGAGCTGACCATGACCCGCGGCGAGTGCCAAGGCCTTATAAGGTGCGGGCGCGCGCGTTTGTGGGTTTATAGGGCCTTGAGGTCTTAACTTTCATGGGTTCCCTGTGTGCCAGGGTTCGGGGTGTTGACGATGAGGCTTTGTCGTGGCTTCTGATGGCTAGCTTAGCCGGGCCTAGCCTAGCCTCAGGGTTTCGGGGTGTCGGGATGCGGCGTTCGAGTCTGGGACCTTGTCACCCCTGTCACCCCTGTCTGCCAGGCGGCGGCCAGATGAACCAAGCCACGAAAGCGCCCCATCGCTTCGCGCAGGAAGGCTAAGGCTAAGGCTAAAGCTAAGACTAAGGCAGGCTTGGGCAGGAACCCTGCAGTCGAATCTGCCGTTTTGTGCGACTGTGTGGCACGGAGGGACGGAGGGTGTGAGAACTGGTCACGAGGTGAATGGAGGACCGCCGCATGCGCTCTCGCGCTCAGGCTTTCAGCGCATTTCAGCACGCTCCCTTTCGAGTTCTAAGACTTAAGCAAGCAGCACCTCCTCTGTGACGGGGCGACATCCACCGAAGTCAGTAAGCTTCGCATGGTTGGAAGAAGTGATCTCAGCTTCCAGCGGCGTATAAGTATATAGTGAGAGACGTCCATGTGCTTGTGATTGCGGGTGGACACAAGATCTGGATCTGCCGATGCTGTCAGAATGTGTTTCCAGAGACGCCCAGTCCCAAACGAAGGACACAAAAGGCTCGCAGAAGGACTGCACGTCGCCTGCAACTGTAATGAGCCTGATGCAGCGCATCTCAGCGCCCTGCAACCACATTCTCAGGCTTGAGATCACCGTACATGAATCCTTCGCAGGCTAGGCAAACATAGCAACAAATGTTGTCAAATACCCTCCTCGTACGTAGCTCATGCAATACAAACTCTTCAATTTGAACACTGCACGGTCGCCTATGTCATGTATCGCACACAGCGCCGCCACCACCTCTCCGACAAGGAAGCGGACAACTTCCTGCGGAGCGCAAGATTGCCTTCGATTCGGGTTGACAGTATGCACAGCCAAGTTCAAGCTAGAGAAGTAGAGCAGCCACGCCGTCCTCCTCAAGCTTGCCGGCTCCGACCAGAATGTTGTGCAGATCACCCTTGTGCGCGTACCTGCACACAAATGGTAAAGCCGAGCCGATCCATATTTCCATACCACCTAGCCATTTGCGCACTCTAGGACCAAGTAAGCGCCGTCACGGTAGCGGAAAGCGGCCACCATCCTGGCGATGCCCTCAGTGCTGAACGAAGCGAGGTACATTACTGCATATAGCGACTGGTGAGCGTATTTGTTCATTGTCCTTTGGGGGATACTATCCCTGCTTCAAATAGCTCATCCCACACACAACGCACGGTGTTCATCTGTAGCTGCATGGCCATCTTTGGTCGCGCGCCGGGTGACTCAGCATCTTCAGCACGCAAATCTCGCGGTTCACAGATGCCTGGCGTGGCAACTTCTCAGCAAAGCTCCTGCTACTGGCTGCTTGCTTGCACGGAGCAGCTGCGATATCTGTGAAAGTGTCTGCATTGGGGCCGCACGGGGCCTCATACCCGAGCTCCTCCATGGTCTTCGTGTTTATGACCTCCACGAGAGTTGCCCAAGAATGCATGTCACACCTAGCCTAGAGCAAGAAGAGCATTGCCAAGATCACGCTCCTTTGCAGAGAACCACTTCAAGCTGCCCTACGCTCCCTAAACCCTTCAAGCACGAAAATCCCAAAGTCGAAGACCACTAAACCCTAAACTCCGAATCCCGTAACTTCAACCCCCACACCCTAATGCTCCAAACCCTAGATCCCATACCCCAAACTGCAAACCCGAAGTCCGAAATCCTGGGATCAGGCCTTCACCGCATATTCTGGCCACTGCGACTGGGTCTTTTCCTGCTTGTAGTCCAGGCAAGAGAGGTGTGGTTGTTAGGTATCAGCGGGCCTCTAGCCTTCGGTACTCATGGAATATACAAGAATGACGGAAGAGCATCACAACAACTTGGAACAGCCTGGCATGGACATAGATGGGCTCACGTGAGTCACGCTCTCAACTAGAACTAGAAGAAGATACGTTTCCTGTTTTCAACACCTCTGCCACTCATCTCAACACAACGACGCCCAAGGTCGGCCTGTTGAATGGCACGTGCGTATCGCACCACGCTGAAAGCACCTTGACCTCGGCAGGCAGACGAGCTCTTTGTCAAATCCAGCGAGGAGCTGCCAAGGTCGGATGCTGGAAAAGTGTCTACGGAGCCGTGGGCCTTGCCTATGTCTTCGGCGCCGTACACGAGGTTGTGGAATCTGAGCGGCAGCCGACGAGATGAATGCCAACATAATGCCAAAGTTTCCTAAACTCCCGAAACCCCAAAGATACCAGGCCAGTGGCTTCAGGGTGGGGAGAAGCGTTGGAGCCTCCTCCATCAACGCTGCCTGACATGTGCTACAGAAGGCAGATGCGGACCCATCTGCCAAAGCTCTTGCGCACTCGGGTCGCGCAACTGCCTCGCCTCCCAACTCGTGGGGCCCTCCGTTGGCGCTGCAGGTAGAAGGAGCTTCATGTACCTTCAGCAATATGCCGCGCACCGACTGTTGATACTTCAAAGGGCCCTTTAAAAAAAAACCTATGGGTATGGAGGCTGTGACGAGGTCTTGGGATCCTGGTTGCGCGGAAAACGAGTCTCGCATGGATGGGGAGACGGGGGGGGGACGGCTTATGGTCCCAAGACAAGAGTGTGACATGAAGAAAGCAAGGCGCTAAAGGGCTAGCTAGCTTGCGGCACCATCACGGGCAACAGCCGGGCAACCAACTAGCAAACCCAGATCCAAAGTATGTCCAGGGCTTGTTCTAAAGTACACCCCCCCCCGCCCACACACACACCCAGACAACTGCATGCAAATACCCTACTCAGACAGAATCACCTGACAGATTCCACTGTCGGATTAAGCGTGGGGCTTGTGCACCCGATCCAAGCCAGATACTGGTTTCTCCTCTTCCTCCTCCTGCGGCTGAGATGACCACAGGGACCGCTTGCAGACCTTTGAACCTAGACCCAATAAACCCTGCAACTCCAGAATCCCAAGAACCCAGAAAGCCCCAAACCCGGGAGAAGCTAACGCAAACATTCCCCAAACGTCCCTAGAAGCCAACCTAAATAACCCCAAACATCTCAAAACAGCCACAAACATCCCTGAACATCCGTTAACCCCAGAACCTGCTCTCCCTCAACCCCAAACCCTAAACCCTAAACCCCAAACCCTAAACCCCTAAATGGAACGGGCCTCCGGAGTCTCCTCCAAGCTGTTCAGCTTGGGAGGTGGGGGTGGCGGTGGCGCGGCATCCTGAGAGTCTGGCTTCGGAGGGTTTGATGCGGTTTGCAGGGTTTTAGGTTTAGGGGTTTAGGGGGTTTAGGGGGTTTAGGGGGTTTAGGGGGTTTAGGGGGTTTAGGGGGTTTAGGGGGTTTAGGGGGTTTAGGGGGTTTAGGGTTTGGGGTTTGGGGTTTGCAGTTTTAGGTTTACGGTTTAGGGTTAAGTGAGGGCTTTGGACCAGATGAGGGCCTCGGGAAGTAGAGGGCTCAGGGCTTGAGGTCTTGAGGCTTCAGGGGTAGGGGGCGCCCCTTCACAAAACCGGCCTTCTTGAATGCCCAGGGCGCCACCCCAGTGACGGTTACCGGCGGCTGCTTCGATGTGCTGTTGCCAGCCTCAGACTTTGTTTAACGGCTTTACAGGGCACCGCATCGTCGGCGGATCATAGCGACCGGGCCCCTGGCCCCCCCTTTGAAGGCCCACGGCGCAACACCTGAGAGTTGGCTCTCCACCCTCAGTCCCTGTATGATTTATCCTTCTTCTCCTTTTCGTTTCCTCCAGTTCTGATAGCATGTGCGTGTTCATCCCCCGACTCTCAGTTTCTGGATGGCTCCTAAATTGCCCTGCACCCAAAGACCCCCGCCAGCCCTGCCCCAAACGTTGTTGCCTGCTTCTAACCAGAATGCCAGAATAGTGCATGGCTCAGTGCGTTGAACATGCCTTCCCTCCCTTGTCTCTATGCGTAAGCCGTGAAGAGCAAGATTGAAGTCAAAGGCGGGTTAGACCGGTTAGACCCTCTCTTATGTTCACTTCCAGCACTCCCCCACTACAGCAGCACAGCAAATGCAATCAATTGCCAGTGAGACATAAATTGAATTAGAGCTTCCATCCTCGCTGCTGGATGCAGGACTGTCTAAAGGCCTCACATCCCAAGCACCCCGCCAGTCGCTGTCAGCGGCGGCTGCTTGCCTCCTGCCCAGCCCAAATCTAAGAACATTTCGGGGCACGCCTTACTTAGTCTTAGCCAACATTCTCAGGCCTCCGCCTCCGCTGGACTGTCCTGGCTTCCAGTCACCAGCACGAAACCTCCAGACCAGTGATCGTGTGGCCTATGCAGCTTGTTTTCTCGCTTCCCCCAGACCCCGAAATGGTTTGGAACAGGCCCCCTGGCCTCAGTGACGTGATGTCAGGTGGCAGTGGCGTGGGTCCTTGGCAGTGCAACTGCCCGACTGCCATCTTCACGAAAGCCAACATTGGTATCTCCATTTCTGACCCCATGTGTTCTGCATGTTTTTTGAATCATAGAACCTGTTCAAGAAATCCAGGCCAAAGCAGTAGGATTCCCTTACAATAAGGACCCATATAAGGCACCCCTAATCTCGGAAACGCCCCATACATTCCCTGTAAGAGGTTCATTATACAAGAGCCTTAGGGCCTAAACCTCCAAGCAAACAAGCTCAAAGAGAAAGTACAACCAACCTTGAAGGCCCAAGGTGCGAAAAACTCCCCCCGAAGGGACCCTTCATCATCCCACCATCCCTTCTACATCCCTTAGATGGGTCGTATGTACCGGGTGGGACGAGAAAGGAACCGGAAAACCTATCCAAAACCCAAAAACCCTGAAGTGTCCCAGAAACTCGAAGCGCAAAGGCCCGATCTTCGACTCTAAACCGGAAAACCCCCGACCAAGCCAGGGGCGTTTTGTCTCCTCCTCAGGTCCCGGTGCAGGGGGCGCGGCTGGCGCCCTGACAACCTGACCCCCTCTAGAGTTGGAGAGGTTCAATGCTGCAGTCGTCAGGGCCTATGGTTTAGGGTTTGGGAGTTGGGGGCCTTGCAGGGCCGCAGAACCCTCCAGAACTCTGGGAGTTTTTGGGAGTTTTCCGCTTCGGCACGTCTTTGTACTTCGAGGGCTCGTGGACGCTTTGTGTATTGGGTTGGGGTGTAGGTTCAGGGCTTAGGGCCTAGACTGGAGCCGACTACCTATGCCCAACCCTGAACCCTAAACCAACAAACTTTACACGTAAACCCTACGGGACCTTATGAACCCTGAGGCCTAAACAGCAAACCCTAAACCCCAAAGCCGAGATGGCTCGGCCTCGAAAGCTGGTATCTGCTTCCCAGGACCCCAGAGTGCTTCGGCGTGCTGTGCGAAAACCTGCGGGGGCGCGGCATAGTTTTTCAGAATTGAGGTTTGGGGTTTGGGGTGTGGGGTTAGCACCGAGAGGCGCTGTGACAGTTGCCCCAGCAAGACTTGAGACGCCAGCGCTTCGAACAACACCCCAACAAAGCCCCCCATAGATGCCCCTGAAACCTACAGCCCTAGCAGGTTCCTGTATTTCCGGCCCCTTTTTTTCCTGCTCTCAGCAGGCGCTGCCCACCGCAGGCGTGGGCGGCACATCGATCGGAGCCCAATCTTCGGGAGCGTCCTTGTTTGCAGCCACAGAATCTGCATCTTTGGCGAGGGGTTTTAGGGTTTGCCCCAAACCGTAAACCCCAAGCAGATCAGCTGAGAGCTGTCAACATAGTCAGCGGAACAGGTACTCACAACAACAGTAAGCACACACCCTGCACCAGTCCGAGCCTGAACGGCTGGTAAAAGTGAGCCATATCCCAAGAGCTCTGCTCGCGTTCGGACCTGGAGGCAAGATTCGATTCGCACCCTACAATGACAATAACACCAACAGCTTGAATAGATGGCAGTTGTAGTGGAGTGGCGGTGATGGTTAGCAGCAGCAGCATCAGGAGCGGAGCAGGAGGGAGGAGGAGGAGCAGGAGGAGCAGGAGCAGGAGCAATGGCAGTGGCAGTGGCAGTAGGAGGAGCAGTAGTAGTGGTAGTGGTGGTGGTGGTGGTGGTCGTGGTCGTGGTCGTGGTCGTGGTCGTGGTCGTGGTCGTGGTCGCAGCAGTCGGAGACACGATGTCTATTCTGATCAGGACATCCCCCCCAGCGCAGGTGAGCTATGATGATTGATGGCAGATGTGAGTGCTTGGGGTTTTATATGATTTAAACTTTCATGTCGCCCTTGGGACCAGAAGTCTCTTGTATCGATGATTTTACTGTTGCGACTGGGAACCTTTGTCTTCTCTCTTTTCTCTTTTCGCCTTTCTGGGATGCCCTGTTAATTGGGGGTGGTGGCGGGCTTTTAAGCACGACAGGGCATCTTGGAGAACGCGAAAGTTTCGTTGTGTTTTGTTTTGCTTTGGATTGGTTCCTGGTTGGGTCTCACATCCTATTTCTTAATTGGTGCTTTTGGGAGCAGAAGCCTCCTACACCGATACTCTGAGAATGTCATTCCTGGCTTTGGATATCCATGAATTTCCTTCTGGATCTCATTTGGGGCATTCCCGAGCAGAAGCCTCGTGAGGATCCCAATCTTTTGTCTTTTGATGGAGATCTCTCATTGGATCTCGTTTCTGAGTCGCAGTCGCAGTAGTAGTAATAGTTGTACGTAGTAGTAGTAGTAGTAGTAGTAGTAGTAGTAGTAGTAGTAGTAGTAGTAGTAGTAGTAGTAGTAGTAGTAGTAGTAGTAGTAGTAGTAGTAGTAGTAGTAGTAGTAGTAGTAGTAGTAGTAGTAGTAGTAGTAGTAGCAGTAGTAGCAGCAGCAGGAGTAGTAGTAGTAGTAGTAGTAGTAGTAGTAGTAGTAGTAGGAGGAGGAGTAGTAGTAGTAGTAGTAGCAGGAGGCTGCTGCACTGCACGAATCTTCCTACAACGAAGGTAAAAGAAATGAGTTGCTTCCGCACCCCCCAAACCATCTCAAAAACTCCCTCGAAACTCCGAAGCCGCGAGCGCAAGCTACCCTTACAAGCCTAAACTTTCCTGAGCCCTACATCGCCCCGCTTTAACCCGAATCCCATGACCCCTCAAGGTGCACAGAAGCCCCCAAGGTTGCGGCTGCAGCAACGAGGCGGGCAAGCCTGAGTCGCTGGAGCAGCCACAGGGTTTTTGGGTTTAGGGTTCAGGGTTTACGGTTTGGGTAGTGCTCTTGCAGGTTTGCACATTTTTTGGTGCTGGGGCTGAACATATAGGGGCCCCAACCCTCACCTCCACCCCAATAAGACCCTTAACCCTAAAGCCTAAAGTCCCAAAGCCCTGGACCCTAGCCCCGGCTGCCACCCACAGAGGGTGAGAGGCCACAGCGGGCGAAAAACAACCCTCAAACCCTGAGCCTTAAACCCAACCTTGCCACCACCCGCCGGAGGGCCTGGTCTCCAAGTCTCGACTCACAGCTTCGCGCCTAAAGCCCGAGGTTACACCGGCCACTCGCGGCCTTTCTGGGTTAGGAGACCAGGTTGCCGATCGCGAGACTTCCGCACTTCCACATGCGAACGCTCGGGACTCGCTGATCACACCACAGTCAAGACACAACTGTTTTCGAACGCTCAGGCATGGGGACGAGCGTCGAGGTCAAAGCAAACAAACTCACGACCCACGATCGAAACCCCGACCCCATAGCAAGGAGCTCAGGCAGGGAACGGTCTCGAACCTCGTACCCACTTCCCGTGGAATCATCACGTACATACCCGAACGGGCATACACACGATGACTAACGAAGTAAAAGACCGAAACCCCCTTCCTCGCTCAACAGGGTGGGTGGGTGGGTCAAATTTGAAATCAAGATCCCTTTGGGGGGTCAACGGCTGACGATCGTCTTCAGCCAAAAAGGCACCGATCGTCATGCCTGTGTGATCACGCATACAGAAGTGACCCCTGAACCCCGGTGTTCAGGACCATGTTCAGGGCCGCTCTGATGCGTCGCTTTTGAAACAGGGGCCGGCGGCATTCCCGTCGAACTATTGGTCGATCGCCCTTCTTGACGATATTGCCAACTTGGGGCATTGCTGCGCTCACCCAAACTTGTCCTACAGCCTTTCAAAGAAAGGGAGGGGGTTGTGCTGGGATCCCCTGAAAACAAAATGCAGATAGCCCCATGTGCGAGTAAGCTCCTGGCATCCAAGGGCCAAACACCTACATCAGGCAAAAGCGGGGAAGACAAGCTGGCAAGCTGGAACGCACTGCCTCTTCGGGATTGCGCCCACGCTGCCCCTTTGTCTGATACTGCACCTCGTGGGCGGGCACACAGACCAAGATTTTGCGGTGATTGCTCAGCGTGCAATCATGGGCCTTTGCTGTCTGACGCACCCGTTCCTGCAAGAGGAGATGCTATCTGCAATGTACTGGAGAGCCTAGAGCTACTCAACTTAAGCTTACAACACTGGTTCGTGAAGATGGATTGAACATAGCCCTGAAACCTCGAGTTCAATCTAGAGCTTCTCCTCGGCACCCTTACCCCAAAGGTGTGCATAGCCAAGCGCATCCAGGAGCCGTCGCCTGAGCATTCAAAGGGTTTCGGGTAGCAAATGCATGTGGCATGGACCTCCTTATTTCGGGGGCTAGTTTGGGGTGACTGGTCGGCTCTTGATCGTAGGGCTTTCAGCTCTTAAGCCCGGGCGGAGCATGAATCGGTCTTCTAGGGCTGTGCAGGGCTCAGGGTTATTGCTTTCCGGCTCTTGGCTGTCAGGCTACGGGTGTGCTGTCTTCTCATCTTTCCCGGTCGTCCCTCTCGCAACGCATGAGAAATAGATCTGTGGCTTATCTGCCGCGGCGGGATTTTTCTGACTTCATGGCAGCAGGGCGAACGAAAGTGAGGGCACTGCGGACAGTGTCGCCCTATCTTCTCCCGTTAGCGGGCAGTATGCATGTACAAAAAATGTCGAAAATGCCATGCACATCGCACTCTCTGACACATGAGCTCAGGTCATACATAGGACACACATGCAAGATCGTCCAGGGCACTCGTTCGCTTGGTTGCTGTCACGCAAACCGGTTCGTCTAAATGTTGGAAATCACACAAGGCAAGCTCCTACAGGATACTCTTCACTGTCTTGCTGCGTGCAATGCAAGCTCATAGTGACAGAGTTGGTTCGATGCATGCGTGTAGTCTTCATTGTGTACGAAAGAGTTCATACATAGAAAACATCTTCTGACTTCTCACAAAGCAAGCTCGTCTAGTACACCCTTCGTTTGCTTGCTGTCATGCGAACCGGTTCGGCAGTTCGGAGATCAAACAACGCAAGCTCATGCAGGAGACACCTGCACTGCAACAGCGATAGCAAAACTCGCCAGAAATATTGGTTAACAATGGGGGACCTAGGGATCAGCAGCATCATCGGTCCGCCGCTTCTCACTTGCCGAGGTGAGAAGGGGCGGGGGTGTGGGGGCCCTCTTGAAAGGAATCCTTGTATGGCTTGGGGGGGGGGGGGGGGGGGCGGGGCACGGCACCTTAAACCTCCGATATCCGATATATCGGAGATTAAGGCCCTTGAGTGCTGCTGACCCAACAACAAAGTGGTAAGCAAGAACTCCCGCAAGCTCCGAAGGAGCTAGCTTTCGTGACTAGCCATCCAAACTCGATGCCACGCGCCGGAGACTAGAGAAGGGACAGCAAGGGAAACCCCCACACAGTTGAGCATAAGAACTCGGGCGCGGGAAAGCATAGAAAATTCAATTCAAGAAAGAGAATGAGCTTTTTCAATGTCTTAGTTGCTGCTGCCAATGATGATGCTGATGATGCTGATGCTGATGCTGATGCTGATGATGATGATGATGATGATGCTGATGATGATGATGATGATGATGCTGATGATGCTAGTGGTGGTGGTGACGAGTAAGGAGAAGGTTCCAGAAACATCTGGCACTGAGTGCCCGACGTCTCCCAGACAGGGTCGGAAGAGAAGTCCTCTCAACGGTGTAAGAATGGCACCGCAAGCAGCTACAATAGCACCTGCTAAAGGCTGTGCTGATCTGACTCCTCATAGCGCACAAGGGCAAAGTCCTGCAGAAACATGCAGCGATGTCTGCCAGCTGAAACAAGCTCGCAACGGACATGGCAGCTGTCGTCGGCAAGAAGCACGGGTCCCGAGGGCACTGAAGGTATTCGTCAACTACCAATGCCCATCGCTGGACAACAGCATCGACAAAGCCGCTATACCTGGCCAGCTGCAGACAGCACAGATCTCGAATGGGGAGGGCATCACACTCTAAAAAGCAGAAACAGCAAAAAAAAACAGCTCCGGCAGCGACTAAAAGTTCTGCAACTTATTGTTGATCTTGTTGCACTCCCAACCATCTGGCACAACAGCAGCAACGTCGCAACACTAGTCGAACATGAATATGCGAATGATACTACTGCTACTGCTAACCTCTTGACGCTTGGTAGCAGTCTCGGGCCTGAGGCCATGCAAGGCAACGTCCAAGTATTGCTGCTTGCCGCGGCTGAAGTGCGTCGGCAAACGACCTGGGGCCTCAAGCACATTTGCTGTCTGGTCGGAAAGGCCTGGTGGCTTAGTGTCGCGAGGTCTGCGATTGGGCATCGCGGCTGTCGCTGTGGGCACAGCATGTGCAGAAACCGATACACCAGCCATCATGGCCAACAGCAACTACTGCTGATAAGGCGGATGGTACTCTTTGTGCCATCTCCCATTCATCAACAGATGCCTGTTCAACCTGTCCATCAGACACCGACGAGCACGGCATTTCAAAGCAACATAGCCTTTACGAAGCCCCTGAAGGCCACAAGGCTCGCAAGGACCAGGCCCAAGAGAAGAGCTGATCCTCCTCACAAGTCACGTTGGTTACCAGGCCTTGGCAAGCTTAGAAGGTGACTCTGTAGACTTGCGGTCTTTGGGCAGTGGAGATTAGGGTTTGGGGTTGCGGGTTAATTGCGGTTCTGGGTGTCAGTGCCTGGGAGCCGGGCCCATGTGGTTCAACAGCGAGCGGGTGAAGTCGAAAGGGTTCCGCACCTTGGGCCCGAGACCCTAAATTTTTGACAGCTTGGAGCTTTGCTTGGTCATGTATGTGGTCAGTTCTACTTCTTATGGTGTCGGTGGACCCTAAGTTGCAGGGGCCGTAGGACGACAGGGACCCTAAATGGGATAGTGCTTTTGATAGAAGAAACTGACAATGCAGCCACGGACAACTCATGGGCCAGGCATACCCTTCCGCAGCTTTTCGCTAAGCTGTCGAGGTCCCACTGTACAACTCGACGCAGCACGATGCGCTCTGCTCTTCGCTTGAAGACTCACCATGCGCCCCAGTTAAAAGACCCTCCACCCGCATCTCTTTGGCAGGCTGCAGAATCGTTAACTTTCCGTTAATCACACACTGCAGCAGCCTGCCCCAGTTCCAGATGCCACGTGGCTTGCATCGCGGGGAACTGGCGTCATTTGCTTACTAGGTGCGCATGTAGGCCACCAGGTATTCTGGATAAATCCGTGAGCCGTGGAAGACCATGAACTCACGGTACCGAGCCTGTGCTGACCAGCAGGGGATGCTGGTCCACTCTTCCGACACTTGACATTCGCGGGTGCAGGAAGGAGGTCACATTTTCAAGGCATGTCAGACATACCAGCCAAGCTGCTATCACTCCACCAGTCTCTGCCAAAAGGCTGTGGTGGAGTACTGGAGGATTTGAGCTGGGTATCAGAGCGAGCTCTCCTAAGTGTGCAGAAACGGCACCCATATCCGAAGCCGAAAAAAAGGAGGCTCCAAACTCAGGTACGAGGCTCGTTGATGGGAGGACCAGATGCTGCGACCATTGTGGTCGATATCCGCCTTGCCGTCCCTCCTTGGATCCGAAACAAAGCCTAAGCCCTAAGACCTAAATTGCACGAAATTCTCCTTACTGCACAAGGACTGGCCCCATCCCAGCACCACAACCCACAATGGTGAAACAGGCATGGACCTGAAATCACCTGGTGTGTCCTCTAACCAGGCGTCGTGCGGATGATGTAGCCGAGCAGAGTCCGACACACAAACATGTAGAAGACATTACCTATACGAGGCATGGAGATTTAGGACTTCTCAACATTGCTTGACCTCTACTCAAGCTGGCCTGGATGGCTGATGCCGGTGTCGTCATAAAGCAGCTTCCGCAACTCTGAATGATTCCCCGGAGAGTGCGCCCTGGACAGAATTTTACCAGCCCTGATCATCTGTGTCCATCAGTGCCACGCAAGGTTGTCAGACCGTGTAGCATGAGCTAAAGGCTTGCCTGCAGTATTGGTCGTTCTTCCCAATGTCCTTCCACGGGGCTCTAGCAAGGGAGCGGGGAAAGCAATTCTAGCAACTCACCATGCGCGAGTCTTTGTGGAGCTGCAGGACTGACAGAAGTCAGTTTACAGGTTGTCCTCAGCCAGGTAGGTACCGTTGCCGAATAGGCCACCGCTGAAACGCTCATTCATTCCACCGCTCAAGATGGGCAGGATGCCTTTGCAGGAACAGCTTATGAAAAGAGGAAGAGAACGCCAAAGAAATCAATGCAACACGCTGGGACAGATCTACTGCCCATCTGCAACGTCTCTGCATCCATCACATCACAGCTGCTTTCCGGTGCTGTGCCGTGGGAAAGGAAGACCTCGACAGTAGCGGTTCAAAGGGAAGCAAGCTGGCTCCGATTGATCAAACCGTTTGTGGTTGGAGCGGAGCCGTCTCTATCGAAACCTGCGACTCGTCCGCATGCCTCGTTGATGTCGCTGAAAAGCTCGGCTGGCAGCTTCTCAGCCATCTCCACCTGATGTGACAGCTGTGACCGGTGGCCGCACACTGCTTCTGATCAAACCAAGCTCGGCCACATACTCACGACGCAGTTGCGCTGGTGGCACCGCGCCGGAAATTGACTTCAGATCAACCCTTGGACAGTCAAGACCCAGGGGTCAAAGGATTTGATTGACAAGCTGTGACGCGTCGACATCCCTTGCGCAAAGCTCTTCAGCTAAACTTGGCCTTGCCTGAACTCAAACTTTCATGAAGACGTCTGAGTCTAAGCACTCATCGGCTTGAATGCTGCGCAGGGCTCTGGCGCAGGTTCTCGCGTTCCATGGCATATTTGCCCCAAAGGCCTGTCAAACAAGAATCCAACGCAGCGTCAGAATGGGCATGCAACCTCCTTGCAGCCTCCTCCACATGGTCAAACTGTTCTCTAAAACCTGTGGTCGATTCAGTATGGGCCCTTTAGCATTTGCCGCACCCCGAGAAAATACTGATTGTACTCAAAAGAAGTTTTGAGCACTAACCTTTCCGTGGGCATGGGATGAACGGAGGACTCTTTGACATCCGCTCACCAATGCCTGTTCTCAGCTTTTCTGAACTCGCTCCGCCCCCCCACTTCTAACCCAGTTTGGGAAAACAAGCTGTCCTGGATGCTGAAGACGCCAGGCGGCATGCAGTTGAAATCCTGCGGTGATGTAGCAGCTTAAGAATTTACCCCACCCCCCCGCCCCCCCCCCCACCCCCAAAGATGCACAGGGTTTTGGGCTTAGGCCTTCCGCACATCCCCTCTGCACTAAAACCGGTGAGACCGAAGCCCAAGAGAGGTACCTTGGGGACTGTTCCAAAATAGGCACCTTTAAGACCAGCATAATAATAATTAATATTATAACAACTATTACTATTACTATATGATTTTTTACAATAATACTATTAATCATTTAGCAACCGGCATGTGTGTGTGTGTGTGTTGATCTCAGTCTTTGCCTCTCTTTTTGTTGCCAACCATGAGGAGTTACCGAATTGGCCCGGGATGGCAAGTCCTGAATGCCTGCCGGGAGCTCGCTGGTCCCGACCACCCAGCGTCCCTCCTCGCTGCGGGGTATCGTGGTCTTCGGACTTTCGAGTTGGGAGCTTCAGCAAACCTCTGGGCGCCTGATCGCATCGCCAGCCTCAGGGCTTCGATCTCTACAGCATCAGCGGGTACGATCCGCCACGGCGGCCCATCACCGGCCTGACGGGATGCTTGATGATGCCCCCCCGCCCTGCCACCCACCCCCCCCCCCCCCGTCCACCCCCCCCCCCCGCCCACCCCTCCGCCCACCCCCCCCGCCCCCACCCCCCCGCCCACCCCCCCCGCCCCCCCACCCTTTCCAAAAAAAAAAAAAACACACACACACACAGCCTACGCCCTATGTAAAGCCTCTGAGCCTTAAACACCCAAACACCCTTTACAGCGCCAGAGTCACCTGATGGGCCCAGTAGCAGGGAGGCGCCAAGCCAACGGCAGCACCCAACCAGGAGGAACTGGGCCTTGCCTATCAGGGCAGACGCGCAAGAGCTTGGCTTCGGGATTTTTGGGGCTGCTAGGGCTGTTCGTGGTTCGGGCATTTAGGGTGTGATGTGCAAACCGGGCCTCTCCACAGCTCCGGCAGCGTTCCTGCACATGATCACACAAGGCCGAAGCTTCAAATGGTTACGGTACGAGTAGCTACGCTAGCTGCCAATGGGTCTGGGGTTTTGTTTCGGGCTTCATTACAGAGGCTGGCACATGGGCAGCCTTCGGCTTTGCGATTTGGAGGTTTCGGATGGGGTCCACAAGCGAAGTGCTACTCGCTCATCATGTGAGCAAGCAAGTGACCACGCCTGTTTGCATCACGACGCCATAACACTCATGGCGGACACGTGCTATAGCAAGGCGCGACAGACAAAAAAATCGATTCTAGCTGCATCGAGGTCACATTCCTTGCAAACTGGTGGTCGTTGCCTGATGGGATCGGCGCTGTTGTCTAATCCGACGAGGCCCCAGGCCCAATGCGTTTGGGGTCAAGGAACAACCCACCCCCTCAATCAACCACAGCTCCAAGGTTCGTGTCGCAGGTACAGAGGAAGTCCGTAACAGTCCACAGGGGCTCAGAGGGGTCCAAAAGCACTCCACAGAATCCGCAGAAGGTGTATAGGCCCATAGGCCCAGGAAAAAAAGGGAAAGTGCGATGAAATCAGTTAACATTCCAGTCCGTAGCCCGTAGGCTGTCGGGCAGGACCCAGGTACGGGACCTCCTATGGCCTCCCGGAGGGAAGCTTCTTCTGGATTCCTACAATAGTCTACGGACACCCTATGTGACACCTCTTATGACGGACTCCCTTTGGTTGCTATGGACCCTTTGCAGCCCTATGGACCCCTTCTGCTGGGAATTCCAGCTGACAGGCCATGCCGAGGCGCGGCGCGTTAGCGTCAATGTGAACTGTTACGGTGACAAGCCAGCAGCAACCCTGAACCCTAAACCCGAAACCGGTTGCAGTTGAGCATCACTTCGGGCATCGCCAGTCTCCGGCGTGGACGGGCGGCGGTTTGGCAGCGGTCGCAAGACGCTGCGCTCCGCACTTGCGGCAGGCACTTCTGCTGGCAAACCTTCGCCCCAAAAACTCAACAAAAAACCAACCCAAAAAAGAACTTGACACCCACGATGTCCAGAAACTCCAAAGGAAGCACCAACTCGGTGCCAGACACCAGGTCTCCGCATGCTTGGCAGGTCCAGTCCCCGCCAGAGCTGCTGGCTCCAGGCTTGTTGACGCCGCATTTGCGACAGTGGCCTCTCAGCGGATGCATAGGATTTCTAAGTAGCCCAGTAGCCACATCAAGGGTGACCTTCTTTCACGTTTTTGCCGCAGGTTTGTGAAGGGCACCACTGGGTTTTGTAGGGTTCTTGGGGTTCTGAGGGTGTGCGGTGTTTGGGGTCTCGGGTCAAGGGTCCCTTGACAACAAGAACATCACAGTATCCTTGCAAACCCTGTCCTCGGCTGCCAAACCTTGTGCGGCATCAGTTCGTGCTCGCAACAACTCGCAACACTGCAGGAAGGCTATCTAGAACATTTCAAACAAAAGCCTCACATGCCACGCTCGTCACATGCCACGATCCTCCAGCTAAGACCGGGACACCAGGTCGCGGCAAGATGGACACGTCCAGTCACCACCATGGGGTGCTCCGGTGGCGCGCGACTCAGGCTTGCCGTAGCCTGCGCTGCTGTCGCCGCTGGTTGGAGCCTGGCCAAGAAGCATTCGACCCTGGCTTGTAAAACTCCAGCTTTCGGCAGGTCATCATATTGCAGCAATTACAGCAGCAGCTTGAGAAGGCCTGCAGGCCCTGCAGGCTTGATGGCTTGCACCCACCGCACTTGCGGCACTGGCCTTGCGCAGATGGAAGGAAGATGAGACAAAGTGCAACAGCCATATTAACTGCTGCAACTGCAAACCTCTCAGAAGCGCACTTCGACTCGAGAACCTTTGCAGCTCACCCAGAAAGCGCAGTGCTGCAGGAACAGCACTGCCGACATTCATAACTCGGCATCACACACAAGATCATCACACTTTGGGCACATCCAGTCGTCCCTGTTGCTGCGGCATTTGGGGCAGATACCTGCAGGAAACCATGTCACTGCGTCACGCATCCGAACCCACAAGATCAGACACAAGATAGCATGAAATCAGCAGTCTTGGGATGCAGCACCTCGTTCCTGAAATCTCACGATGAGGCCCACACGTTCAGGGCCCAAGACGACGCTGGCACACTTCGTGTTCGGACAGATCCAGGGATCCGGAGCACCTTGCACCCAGTCTGGGGCCGAGGTCCGAGGTAGTGCAAACTACAGGGGTTGGCGGTGGGTTTAGAGGACTTTACAGACCATGTAACCCTTCATCGTTTAGGGATACGGCTCCAGGCTAAGGCAAAACTGGCCTGCGGCGGGGCCCGCACTGCACGGAGGCGCAGGAGCACCTCATGGAGAGCAGAATCCAGAAGGTACGAGCACTGGCTCATCGCAGGTTTTTTTTAGGGGACTGGGGGACTCTACCGGGAGCTCATGCGACCCCAGATGGTTCCATTGAGCCCTTTGCCTGAGCCCGGTTTGGGCGCTCCGCACCTTCTGCAGGCCAAATTCCTGCGCAACACCAGGCAGTCTGACAGGTGACATAGTGTCTGCGTGTCTCGCAGAGAGCGTCGCCTGGCAAACTGCCAGTCGCCACATTTTGGGCAGGTCCAATCCGCTGGACGATGCATGTCGAAACGGGCTCGGGAGACAGCTGAAGAGACAGAGCGATTCTGCTGCAAAGCTTGGACCAGAGAAACAGCCGCAGCCACACCGGCTTGGACACGGAAACCACAACTACCGCTTTGCCGCATAAGTCAGAATATATGTCAAAGTCCCGGTGGTCGTCTAAGTGGCCCACCACAAAGTACAGCTGAAGCCGCTGACCATGTTGAGACAATGCCTCGGAAGCAGCAACAAGCTGAAGAAACATCCTAAACACTAGATGCCCCTGAACCCTCAACCCTACCCGCCGTTCTTCCCCATCACCATACTGTAAGAACTACTAGTTCCCCATGTATTGGTTGAGAATTCTCTGAGCTCTATACTGGCCAGGCATGGGCCAGCCGCCTGGCCACTGGTGTCAGCAAGGCATCCTTTGAGATGTCCCAGCCTGCGCCACCGTTGAGGGCTGCTCGCCAATTCGTAAAAAATTGGCAATCCGAGTCTTCACTCTTCAATCTTAAACTGCTTCCTTGCCGCCGAGAAGCGGAAGATCTCATCGAAGCATAGATCGAGGACGTGCTCAAGCGGTGCTTCCTGAATCACGAACTGTGGACGCCGGGCCTTCCTGTAAAGCCAGTATAGGCCTTACCGGCCGGGAAGCCCTTGGCCTTTGCCTGCCGATTTTACAAGCCTGAGATGCCTGCACGACGGGCCACGAAGTGCACGATGGGTGCCTGGCTCAGCTCGTCTTCGTGGAGTGAAATTCTGAAAGGGCTGAAAGAGAAGTGAAGTGCAAGACTGTCCGACGCCCTTTTTGGCAGCCATCCTTAGAGATGGTGTCGCCTCTGGTTCCATCCGGAAGGGGCACTGGATTGATGCCCCTTCGACAACGGTCTGTTTAGGTTGCAAACCATCGTGCACGCTCTCCGACCCCGCAGCTTCTAATGCTAGGTCTGGCAGATGAACCGGCACCTGGCTCGGTAGTCCTGGTACCGGCACTGGTGTATACACAAAGTCAAACCCTGAGGCACTCGGAAGGATCCGATGAAAGGTCACCATGAACCAGCAAAACAAGCAATCACGATCCGAAGGCTTCAGGGGCTTGACTACTTACAGTTCTCCGTCAGCTCTTCTGACGGAGATCTGCCCAAGACTTCCTGGCCTGCACCTCGAGGCTTCACTTTATGAAGGCTCCATTGAAGGCCAGGAAGAACGTGAGAGGATACGGTGTCGGAGAAAGGGAGACAGAGGAAGAGAGAGAGAGAGAGACAAGAAGGGGAAGCAAGAGAGAGAGAGAGAGATAGAGGAGCGGGACAGAGGCGCAGAGGGCGTGAGTTCCGCATCTTTGTCGGAAGCCTGGGAGCGTCTGCGACGCATCGCATCTACCCACGACATCGACTCCTCGTTCTAAAAATTTTGACAATGGGATACGTATATCGACGTCCTCCGCCATGCCTTTCAGCATGTGCTCGCCGATACACATGAATCCTTCCAGCACAGGCAGCTGATCCTACAATGGGCACGCCATGTCGCGCAGCAGCCGACATGCTACAGATTGGAGGTTGTTTGGAAGCCTGTCCTCTCCGGCACTATTTCTGGTTGAAGAGCCCTTGGCAGGGCAAGGCAGTATGATTACTTCGGCTTGCAACTGCCTCCTGCAGCTGGAACAATGATACCGAACATTAGCTACATGCAGCTACTTGCATGCTAGTTCCTACATCGAGTTCCCCAACATGTTCCCCAAAGCATACAGCCTGTCAAAGCCTCAAGCCCTAAACCCCCCACAACCCATGGGGTGAGTTGCAGCTGCGCAACTGGCCATCTTGGCTGTCTTAGCATCCGTAAAGTCCGGCAACGGAGGCGCGTGACCTACAGTAGGGCCGCGTTGTGGGGGTTCTTAGCTTAGGCTTTGGACTTCAAAGGCACCAAGCTCTGTTGCACCTTTAGTGAAAAGTGGCTGTACTCTTCGAGGATGAAGAACTCATGGCCATCAATCTCCTGGTCCCCATTCAGGTCCTCAAAATGGCCACTAACACTTCAATCAACTTGTCTCGGCATTGCCCAGCAATGCAAGCTGAGCCACGACAAACATGAAGATCTCCATCACGGGCCCATCGAACTGCGTTGCCTCCACACCTCTCAGATTCAGAAGCCTGCACACCTTTCAGGGCTTAGGGTGTTCACGGTGTTGATAGGCTGCGCACACTTTCGGAACTCATCGAAGGAAATCGCACCGCTCTCATCGACATCGATGGCCTCGAAGGCCTGTCAGTTCAGGAGCCTAGTTCTTCCATCGCACAGCTCTCTCTCTTTCTTTCTTTCTTTCGTTGGGGCATGGGGGTGCCCCCCCGCGCGGATGCGCGCCCCTCCCTCTCTCTCTCTCTCTCTCTGTCTCTCTCTCTCTCGCTCTCTCTCTCTCTTCGCTCTAGGGCGATCATGTCTGCAAGCTTTGGCCTTCGTCAAGGATCCATAAAAGATCTCCAAGTCGTTCTTTAGCCTTGCATCTCTGGTAAGCAAGCTGTCAAAAAACAACAAAGCTGAGAAAAGTCAAGGCTCTCATACATGGATTGTTGGAGCTCACGCCAGACTCGCTCCAGCGTCTCAAACTCTCTTCGCGATATATCACCATCGTGTGAGGTGTCCAGGTAGCGGAACACGCCTTGATTCCAGGACACGGCTTCGGCTGCCATACTGCGGCTCGCAAGTTCCAAGTATGTGGGCGGTTCTCTAGGCGTATTCAAAGGCATGCCGCCGGGCCTGCATTGTTTCCATTCTCTAGGAGACTACGCAGAACCCAGGACTCAAAGACGAGAAGGACTGTTGCAACCTCGAACGTTCAGCTGCCTCCATGATCCACCCTGAAAGCCATTGAAAGCCCGAACATCCCTCAAGGCCTAAATCCACCAACCCCCCCCCCCCCCCCCCCCCCCAAAAAAAAAAAATTTTAAAAACACCCCGCAAGGTCCAAGAGCAAACACCCTAAATCCCAAACCCTGGCGTTTTCAGCTTCGGGTGCCAAAGCACTGGACAAGGCGTCTAGCTGCACTGAATCATCGCTCTCCCACTCCCCGGAGGGGCTTCCAGGAACAGATCGGGAGCCTTGGAATTGGCAGGTGTATATACATTACATATATATACATATATATATACATACACATATACACACCCTGGCTCTCTCGTTCGGTCGTTCTTGTTTGGTTTAAGCATTTCCTTACTTGCTTTTGTCTTTCTGGTTCTTTCTGTGTTGCTCTTCGTGCTTTGTCGTTCTTCTTGTCTGTCTTAATTTCGGTCAATGCCCTGATTCTATTTGTTTCTTTAGTTCTTTTATGGCTTCTCCGAGCATACGGGGAGCGGGGGAAAGCACCAGTCTGGGAGGGATGTCGACCCAAACCCGAAACCCTAAACCCTAAACCCTAACCCTGCTGCAAGTAACTAGGCACACCTGACCTTTCATCGGTCGGGTCTTGCGCTTCTTCAAGATGCGTGCCGTTGTTGTGCTTCTGCTAAGGGCAGAGAATAATCGCCACTGTTTTCCCGGGTTTCGTTGTTTGTGTTTTCGATGTTTCTGCTTTTTTGGTTGGTTTTGTTGTGCCGCAGGAGGATGCATGTGTTTGTCTTTTTCATTGCTGCCATGTGTTTTTGATGCTTGTTGGCTTTGAGATCTGGAGGACAAGTTTCGGATCTGAAAGACAAGCTTCTAGATTTGTTTTGATCTTTTTAGGTGTTCCGTATCCCGGTGGACATGTGTGCGTCTGACGTTTTCTGTTCCGAATGTGTCCTCTCGGGGATGTGCCTTTTTTCAAAGGGGACACTTGTGTGCTTTTCCCAAGCAACACCAAAATCTTGAACAAGCTATTGAGGATCCCAACACTACAGTACTCGTTCATTCGCGTAGTTCAATGACAAAAGAAGAGGGGTGGGGGGGGCCCCGAGGGGAGGACCTGGTTTGTATACATATATATATATGTATACTAGATAGACAATCACATTGCGCAGGTGTTGTAATCTATTCTGCTACATCTTACGTTAATTGTTTACCTTATTATGTTACATTGTATTTGCACTGATTGTAACAATGCGGCTTTGCGTCAAACTCTGTATGTTCTCCTGTGTGCACGCATACAGGCAGACAGACAGACAGACAGGCAGGCAGGCAGGTAGGCAGGCAAGCAGGCAGGCAGACACACATACATCTGCATGCATGCACACATCCGTACACAAACATACAGACGTGTGTACGTACACGCGTACGAATGTACATACATGTACTGTGCAGAGCCATAAAATCAGAGTACAAGAATGATGAGGGAGAGGTCCAGGAATCTGGAGAAAGATCCTAGAATCTGGAAGAAGAGAGAGGGCCAACACGAGAGGCAGATCTGCATGATGCAACATGGCACTGCAACTGAGCGGTCATTCCTGATGCCTAAACTTCCGAAAGGTGTGTCCCTTCTTGCACACCCGAACCTCAGCACCCTACCATACACCCTGAAACCCGGCCAAACCCTAAAGTTGGAGCCTTAAATCCTTTAAACAACACATGGCATAAGCCCTCACCCCCCACCCAACAAAAGGAGCAACCCTAAAACATTAACAAAAGCTTAAAGACACGAAGAGCCCAAACAATTCTGCAAAACTCCAACCCTTGAGTCCAAGAGCCCACAGGAACTGTCAAATTCGTAGTCCGCAGCCTCGGCCTGATCCGGGGCTTTTCGACTCTTTGGGTTTTAGGGGCTTTAGAGCTTTAGACAAGGCTTGAGGACTTTAGGGCTTTGGGCTGTAGGGTCTGGAGTTTGAAAAAAGTGTTCGGGTTTGAGGCACCAGAACAACCAGAAACATCACCCAACTCATGGGGGTTATAAACCCTATACCCCCTTGTCAGAGTCTCCTGTTTCACACACTTTGTCGGGTGCAGCCCGTCGCGAAGACTGTGGTATTAACATATTAGTTTGGCTGGGAAGGCACGCCACGTAACCTACAGTATTCACGAAGCTTGCGCAGCTACATTGCCTTAGTATGTCGTTCACAGTCGCTGGAGTTCTTACAGAAACGCTATGGCTTGCAGGTCTCAGCAGCCTGAAAGCTCGTATTGGCTCAGCGGATTGCCATGCCCACGAGGCAGTATCTTGCATGCGGCTTGTCGTACGAGGCTTGTCGCACAGAGCTCGTCGCAAGATGCAAACCCTCACCGCAAAAAGCCTGCACAGGCTTACAAGTGTTCTTGACTTGCATTCACGATGCACGGGGTCTAGAATTTGGTTAGGGTTTAGAGTCAACGTGGGTAAAAGGGATGGTGTAGGGTGTGGCTTCCAGTCCACTTGCGCGCTGCCTGCGTGTGCGACAGCAGCCGGCTTTGGCCAGTCCATCCACAAACTCCTGAGAGCACCCCTTTCACGGATCGAGATTTGGAACGTTTGGGGTTTTAGGGTTCGGGCAGGGTGTTGGTGTAGGGACAAGGCCCCAACTTCCGGAACCCCCAACAGGCTTCCAAGTTCGGCAGGAGAAAAAAAAGGCTGTCGGGCGAGAAATCACCTCTAAGCAGGCGAAGGAGGTACGGCTCACGCCGTGGTCCTCGCCTTGTGGTTCAGCATGTTGTCCGGCTGCGTGTTCAGCGCGGTAAACGCTGCGTCAGTGCTCTTCCAGTTGCGGATCATGAAGACCACTACCTGGGCTCATGGTGAAATGGAGACTACTGTAGGGTCCTAAACTCCAGGTTGAGAATCAAGGTGGCTATAACATTGTCTGAATGCATCATCTGGATTTTCTGGATGTATTCGATAAGGGAAAGAATTTCACAAATGGTTCGCAAATTGCTCAAACAGCTGCCACAAAAAGCTCCCGCTCCCCCCCGCCCCCCAAAACCCTCAAGAACCCATCAAATGCGTTCACAAACCGCATGAAGCCATCATATGGCATTCCTGGTGCTACCCTGAACTTCACCTGAACTGCAGTCAAGACCTACAAGCACCTGGGACTCGTCCACATCCTGGCCCCCGGGGCCCCACTCGTAATGATCACAGGGGAGCCTTTAACCCTAAACCCTAAACCCCCCAAAGAAAGAACATGCCACGAAGCCTTCAGGACCTCGGGTGGAACATCTTCCAGGCACGACCTCGAATGTTCCATGTCATGGAGGCCGCTGGATGAAGAGTTTAGGCTTTAGGCTTTAGGCTTTGGGCTTTAGGCTTTAGGCTTTAGGCTTTAGGCTTGAGGCTTGAGGCTTTAGGCTTTAGGCTTTAGGCTTTAGGCTTTAGGGACTAGGGTTTGATGTCCATGAGCTTGCCCCAGCTGCCCCTTCTCAAATCGCTCAAAACCCCTGAGCCCAGAAGACTGCGGCTTGGGGTCTGAAAAACGCGAGGCCCTCTTGATTAGTTTCAAATGGGTGGACTTATTTTGCTCTTTCTTGGTTTTGGGCAGGGAGAGGGGCGGGGGTAGATTGCTTGGGTTTTCCGAAAAGAAACGATTTCAGCCCCTAAACCACCCAGACCCCTAACCGCGCCCAGCGGCCAAAGGTCGAAGGCCGTGTCTGGAAGGTTTGCCCAGCCACCGACGGTCGCAGCCAGCCGCCGTCGGACCTGCACAGCTTTGCCGTTTAGGGTTTCGGGTTTCGGGTTTCGGGTTTTCGGGTTTTCGGGTTTTCGGGTTCAGGGTTTTTGGGGTTTTAGGGTCAGGGTGTAGGGTGTGCTGGGCTGAGGCTTACAACTCGGCTGGTTCTCTTAGCGTGACAATGACCGCAAACAGCGACTGCCATTGTGGTACCCCTCGACTTGGCAATTCTTTTTGCGAAGGGGAAGATGCTAAGTTCAGGTTTGGGGATGTTAAGGGTGCAAGGGTTGGCATTTGGAGCGAGGATTCCGCGGGATATTGCGAAACAACCCAGCTGCTGCAACATCCACTTGCGACTCTGAGGTCCTCAATCAAACTAAACCTCTACATCCAAAAATGTTGTGGTTTGGGCTGGGATTCAAGACGTGGATGATGAAGGACTTGCTAGGGGGCAATGACGACCCCTTTTGGGCATCAAGGATGATAGACAAAATGACTCGGGAGCCAGAAATGCACCGTACAGAATCGAACTATGGCAATTGTCATTACACAGCTGTCATGTTGGGCCCATGCTGACGCCTTGAGATTTTGGCGGTCCACCGCGCAGTTGTAACTGCCTGAAGCATCGCGCTTTTGGGGGTTGTTCTGAATTCGGGCCCTTTTGGTGGATACGATTAGGGTTGGGTTCCTTTTGAGGGGTCCATTCAACATCTGTAAATTACCTGTAATGTAAGGGCACCCTAGTATTTGAAGAGCCCGCAAGTCCCAGTTCGAGAACGATGAAATCTAAGGTGGCGGCACTGCATGATCCCCTGCGCAGGCACGTTGTCCCACTCGGCCCAAGAATTCGGAATGCCTGAGGAAAGGGAAGAAGCGGAGCACATGCAAAGAGAAGCGATGATACAGTGATACTCGATTCATGGTGCCTGCCTGCAACGAAAGGCTGGAAGGCAGGGGCATTTGGATTCGCGTCCTTGTCCATCACAGGGTTCTTGATGTTCCTGCAGAGCATCACGTCCACAACAGCATCCCTTTGCAGAAAAATCATTTCAGAAGAAACCCCCGTTTAGAACAACCTCCGCATCAACTCCGAGCACGTGCCTGGTGGGGTGAACAACCCCGGTGCACCACTAAATCTGCGTGGATCACAATTTCAGCGGCTCGTTCTCTCCAACAACGAGTTGAGTGTCCCGTTGCGCGTGCCAAGCTTGGCATCGCCATCACCCTTGCCGGCAAGTAAATCAGCCCTGAAGGTACCCTTGTTGTACTTGAGGATTAGCATGGATTCGCATCTGCGGGTCGTCCTGGCTCACTGATCCGCTGGGTCGTTTGTATTCACATGTCGCGTGCGTGCGCATGTCGGTTTGTGTTGTGCCCGAACAACCCACACCCGCCGCTTTTCCGGGTATGTGCTAGGTTGCGGGTACCAAACCTTCACTCTGCCAGCAGCCAAAATTGTGCCATTCTTTAGGCTTCTGACAATGTTTTACTGCTTCAGATCCACTGGTTCTCTTGTATTCGCATGCGGCGAGCATGTGTCTCCCTCTCATCGTTGCTTCTCCCCCTCTTCAGCAAGAGATAGGTTGTTTGTTGCAGCTTCATAAAAATTAGCAGTACAAGGGGTTTCCCCAAACAAATTTTTGTTGCCTCTCGGAGTTCATCGGGGGGGTCGTCATGGGGTGCATCCTGTGGTCTGGGCATGCTTTTGGTTAAGGGAAGGCTTTGAAGTGGTACACTGGGGTACATGCCGGATGGTAGCTGTCTCTTCGCAGCTGCGAGTCGAAGAGCTGTAGAAGTAAAACCATAGTGAACCCCCCCTAATGCGGCAGAGGCTCACTGCATCCTCTGCATTCGACAGCCGGACGAGTGTGTGCAGGCAGCGCCGTTGCTCCCACTGGGCAAGGTCGATGGTGTGAAATGACATCTCCTCAGCCGGGTCCGCCCCGCGCCGAAGTCTACTTCGAACTTCTGTCATTTTGCGGTCCACCAGGCCAGGCCTGCCACAGAGTGTGTGCAAATGACTCAAATGCAGCGAAGATGCCGGCTGGCCATAGGGGAAGAGGTTCATGTAGCCTAACCTTAGTGCATGGCAGTCCCGCGATGCCGATGGTCGCGTTGCAAGAAACCCAAGAAACTAGGCACCAAGCTTTTCACTGAGGCCCTTCCAGTGTGACTTTGTGAACTTCGGCTGGCAACCTTAGGGAGCAAGGGAAGCGAAGAGATCTTCGAAGAGATCTTCACCAACCTTTCGTTCCCGTGCAGATGACACGGCCAATCGCTGCACTGCGTTATGCTCCTTGAATGACGAGATCCTCTTCAGGCGGTCTCCAGACCTTCTGCACGACATGAAGCCCAGTTGAGCTGGGAGGCACTTGCCATTGATGGGCCAGTCAACACACCGCAGGAACATCATGCAAAGGATAGCGGCTCGATCGCCTCCTCAAGCCACAGAAGGGTTAGCAACACCCTCTGCAGCGATCATAGAGCGATTCGTCCGACATTTTTTGCATTTTATGCCAAGATGAACATGATGCTCTTTAAGAGAGGGTCTGTGCAGGAAGATGCAGAGGAGGTTTCTCAGCTGACGCGAGAGGATCCACACTCGCGAACTGATCCCTCGAAGAGCCCACATGGCCTGCACAGGACGCCCACAGGATGCCCACATCTCAGCGAGGTGGCATTCGTAATTAGCAATCACTTCCAGCGCCTGGTTGACTTTCTCGGCACTCTCCTCATCATCCTCCTGCAACATCTTAGGCGGTCCCTTACTGATTCAGGTGGCGTTGGAACAGTGGCAATGCCAGGTCCTCCGTGTTGATGTGCCCTTTCTTCTTCAGTGTCAGTGCAGCCTTAAGACATGACGCAACACCAGCTCCTATACTTGGCATGTTCGCGGCACGACACTCGCAGCACATCGCAGCAAGGTGCCTGCATTGCAGCCAGCACGTTGCCCCACGTCTCAATGGGGATGGGCTTGGCTCCAGCAGGGGGCCTCTCGATAACACACTGCAAAAAAACCGAATTGAAGTGCAATTCCGGGCTTAGGGCATTCCACGCCTATACAGGGCGACGAAGTCGAAGGTCAACAGCCCTTGTGGAGGGATGCGCCAATCGGTGTCAGAGAAGCTGAGAGACTTGCCTTGCCGACCCAGGCGAACAGCAACGGCAACGGCAACATCGAGAGAGATCTAGAGATATCAATCTGGTGGTGCATTCAAAAGATACAGAAACCAATGTTGCAGCTGCAGGGTGCCATCCAGCAAAGCATTCCGGAGGCATTTCCTTAGGTCGGCGAAGAATGTAAGGTTAAATACACAGGCCCATGAAGGAACCAGGACTTCAGAGACCTGGCCCTGTCAGTGGCCTCTCCCCCAACCTGAAATACATGGGCGATGGCTTTCCAGTCCAGCCACCCTTTGCCGTCTATACTGACGTCGACGAGATTGGCCTTGCGCCAGAGGTGGAGCTGCCTGGGTAATTCGGAGGCTTAGGGGCTTTTTTAGGGGTTCCGGGCTTAGGGATTGTTGGTGCCACGGCATGCGGAGAACTCGTTCTAGTGAATTCTAGTGATGAACCTATGTCGGACCGCCTCACGCACCTCCTCCCAAACCCCAAAACCCCAGCTGGGAGCGATCCATAGCGATCCTAAACCTTAAGCCAAACGCGCGCTAACCTCAGAATCATCATCCTCATCCTCGTCCTGTCCTCATACTCATACTGACACGCTTCCTCTTTCTCTTACTCTTCCTCTCGCTCTTCCTCGCGCTCTTGCTCTTGCTCGTTCCTGATTGTCCTCTCACTCGTACTCTTGCTCTGACTCCTAGTCCTCTCTTTCTCTTACTCTTACTGATGCTGTTTGACGCTGCTTGCGGATTCAGCAAAGCACAAGAGCTTGAAGAGCTTGAACAAGGTGCCAACGGTTGAGCAGCAGAAGCTTCTGAACCACTGTGCGGGTCGGAAGGTGCTCCTTGCTGTGAGGGTGTGGGATTCCGAGTTGGTTTGCGGCGGGAACTTCCGGCTTTTTGGGGCTTTCGGTTTGTTCAGCATTGACCGCATCGAAACCCATTCCAGCTGCAACCTCGCCACGAGTCGCAGGGAATAATGCCCCGTAGGGTTCTCCAAGTTCAAGGACAGCGGGGCCCTCGCGGATCTCTCGAAATCCAGGATGTCCTTTGTTCGATTCGACAACGTGCTGCGACCGGAGGGCAATGGAGGGCACCCCTTACCCCAACACTAAACCGCTGACACCATAATAACCCCGAAACCCAACAGAACCCTAAAAACCAAACATCGCATGCATGACCGGCCTTGATTGAGTCGGTATTGAGCGCCGCGTGCAGCAAAGACCGTGGGTTCAGGGCAGCTGGCAGCATTCTGATGAGCGTCTCCTTGGCCTTGTCACCTGGGCTCTGCACGGGCTCTTCAATTGGCTCTGCACGGGCTCTGCAGGGATTTCACGGTTGAACGGGACAGCTGACGCTGGGCCCGGAACCTTGGTTCATGTAGACGGCCATCACCTCACCCACGTGACTCTGACGTGGTTCAAGCATTGGCTTCTCGACTTTTGCTGGCCTGGTCCTTGCTCAGCTGGAAGTCCTGCAACAGTGCCAGGAGGAAGGCATCGAAGAGGGGTCCCTCCAGGGAGTTCACCTGAGCAGCTGCGACTCACGTGAGACAATGTGGCGACTTATGAATCCTGTCTCGCCTGGAGGCGTAGGGTTTGGTCTTACTCCACGCGGACCAGCACCATGCTGAGAAGCATGCGAAGATATGAGAAGCTCAGGAAGCTCGTGTTTAACGATGGCCAAGGTGGCCCCGATGAGCCCCGGGAAGTGCGACGACATGTCACCACACATCACGGTGAGAGCTTGGCAACCTGGCCAAAGCCTGGAAGTTTAGAAGATGATGCCTCCCGCAGTCCATCGTCGTCAACTTCATCTCGTTTCCAAGCAAAAAGGGTAGAGGGAAAGCCGATGCCAGCTCCCTAAACCCTAAAGACCCCGACTCGCACCGACCAGTAAACGTCGAACTTTGCACCTGTGAGTCTAGAAACGACGAAGGTGCTCATCCCAAAGAGTCGGGAGCTTCGAATTGCATGCTTCGGCGAACATCTACGACTGTCGCCTCCAGGGTTGGGGAACGGCGAGGAAAAGCAGAAGCCGCCGCGATCATGGTTATTGTCTTGTGTTCATTCTTGTTCATATCACTGCTGTTGTGAACTGTGTCTTAGTTGCGCGGTGGATGCGCTTGGAGACGGAGGGCTGTGCAACAAACATGAGACGGCGAGCAGTGCCAGTCAGCGCTCATCGGTACTTGACCATATGCTTTGGAAACACACAAGTCCAAAGCCTTAAATAAAAGTGCCCCCTGTCGGTTTTGACCCCCCATTTATCCCTCGCCTCCCTCAAGGTCTCTAACAAGCTTGCCCCAGGCTGCCCCACCGGCGCATAAAGGCTGTTGGACGATGCCGAAATCCCCGACCCCTCCCGGACCGTGTATTGTTGGGCAGCTTTCATGATTCGTGGGCTTCAAGCCCTGAAAGCCCAAAGACTCCACCCGGACTGGCTCCGAGCAGTTGAAGCAGCACATCTACCCCACTGTTGAGAAGCGACGAGATACCCACATACCTGTACAAGCAGATACCCCACAAGGACGGGCATGGCCTTCTGAAGCACAGCAAAAGTCTTCCGCTTCGACTTCCAGGTTCGCTTCCTCCCCAAAGCCCCCCGGCGACTCCGAAAACTCGCTGAACCCCCCGACCTAAACCCAAAACCCTACAAGCCGAAACCCCTAAACCTCTAGAATCCTGAACCCTCTGAACCCGCAACATGGCATGCTTGGCATTTTGGTCCACTTCGTCCTCTTTACCAACATCCTCTCCACGACCTCCGAGTAGAGGCCGGTACTTTCCACCTCGTCCTTCAAGAAGAAATCGTTGAGACTGAGCCTGGTTTAGTGTTTTAGGGTTTTGGTTGCAGAGGTGGGGTTTCGGTGGGCCATATGGTAGGCTTTCGGGCTAGCGTTGAGGGTTTGGGGCTCACAGTCCAAGCTAGCAGAGCCGCACGAAGCTCAGGATACCCGATGTAGGAACGTTCCAGACACCCCGCTTCTTGCGCACACCATCCACCTCTAGCAGCTCAGCTGTCACGGCATAGTTTCTGCAACCCTTCTTGTGCCAAAGCTCGTGCTTAGACAAGAAACGCTTTGACTAAGGCAACCGCATTGTAGGGCGATGGAGGCATCTTGGGAGAGGTGGTCAACATGGCACCTGGGTGTAGAATCGTGCCACTTTCTTTACACAAGCCGCCACTGCATCATTAAGCTACAGGCTCTTCGGCACATCACGGATCCGAGGCGCTCTTGAGGTATTGGCTCCGGCTGCCACCCAACTGCGCTAAGTTGGTTAGCAACAATCGGAAACAGGTGCGCTGACCAGGCATCGCCATGTCCAGCGAATACTGGCCAGATGGGTCCTCAAAATGATAGTCAAGTCAGTCCGAGAACAACAGGTTCCTAGACACAAGGGAACATACTTTGGGGAACTGGCCGCCTGCAAAATAGCAGGCTAGTCATGATGCTGCTCGGGCACGACATCGAAGAGCCCTTCAGACACATCCCCTCCTGATGCAACCTCTCAGGGAAAGCGGAAGGCCGACGTACAAAGAGCCGCGCAGTCCCAAGAGAGTTTCTACTTCATTGGCAACTTACAACACAAATCGAGATGCACTCACGTTTAGAAACGGCTTTTAACTTCAGCCAATCATGGGGTATAAGTAGCACCCTCAGCGTCCAGGTGCTGAGCGCCTGCACCATGGCCCGGAAACCCTGAACCCTGCCTGCACATCTTCGAGCAGAATGTTGCAAAGCTCTGGGCATTGCTCACTGGAGAGGAGGCGAAGACTTGGTGGCGCAGGTGGGCTAGGGTTGAGGGGTCAGGGAGGCTATGGAAACATGCAGAGACTCTTCGAGTTTAGCAGCAGTGAGCATAGTCCATTCTGCCCCAATGGATTTGTTGAGACGTCGAGAAGCTCCTTGGGGCGACATCAATGTGCATGCAAGGAGGATCCGCATGTCTTGCACGAGCTTCTCTCTACCGAAGGCCCTCCAGCCACACAGCACCAGCACGTACTGCCCTGAAAATACCAGGCCCAACCGTCTGGATTATGTGGATTATCTGGTCACTTTTCTACTCGGAGTCTTTCCGGATACCTCCAAAATATAATCAGGGCATTGCATTGCAAAATTGCAACCCAACAAGGTTCCATCCTTTTTTAACCGACTCGGGACTCAGAACCCAGGTAAGAGCGGCAAGTGGCGATGCTGGGATGGTTCTGAAGGCCATACTCGAGCATCAGCGCGGCGCTCTCGTCCAGCTGGTTGTCCTGAGCTACAAGGGGGGTGTGTGTTCAGGGCCCCAAACCCTACACCCCAAACCCCAAACCCTAAACCCCAAACCCCAAACCCTAAATCCTAAACCCCAGCTACACCCTAAACCCCTAAAAGCCCTGAAGCCTGCCAAAAGGAAAAAATGTGCTCCAAGAATCGGAAAGATCCAAAAACTTGAGGCTCTTATCCGCCGGCAGCTGCTCAAGGAAGCCGCTCATGGGCTGCGATGCCTGCAGTCAGAGCTCTCAAGGAATTTTGGGGGGAGGGGAAGAAAGGGCCCCTACCTTGTTGATGCTCTGAACTTAGGGAATATACTAACAATAACCCCTACAGGAGGCAGCATCCTCCGTATCTGGCCCTACAGCAGCCCCCTCACCCACAAGCAGGGCACCATGACCGAGGCCGTTTTGGCCATGCCCAGGTATTCCAGACGACTTCCTTTCAGGAGGCTGCTTCCCAAAACCTTGGCTACGCTCATGTTCGCGCCGACTGCTTCGGCACAAATTGAGAACGCTTCCAACTCAGCTCGACGCAGCAAAAGCCTCCGGATCGAAATGGTTGTACCCAAGGTCCTCAACCAGAAGTGGCCATTTCACTTGGCCGATGTTCTGCAAACAACGCATCTTCGCAAAGCATGGGCTGCAGCTAAAGGGCCAGCTTGAGAATCCGTGTGTTTCGGACCAAGCTTGGGATGATCTGCAGCAAGGCATTCGGCGGCAGGCGTGTGGTGTACTCGCTGCTACGCGCACCCAGGCCTTTACGGAGAGATCTGGACTGATACCTGTCCTTGCCAAATACCTCGGCTTTCTCACAGCTTGCTCCATGAACATTCAACAGACCACCCAACGAAACTTTAAAAGACCAAAACCCCAATCCCATCCAAACCCAGAGGCCCTAAACCCCTCAAGCTCTGCCTCTGCCCAGTAACACTTCTTGCATCCGCTCGTGCCTCTCGATAGCACTGGCAAGCTTCTGGTAGTCCTGAGCTCTTTAACATGAGAGGAGGCGTCATTTATATATATATATATATATACATGTATACGTGTATATATATATATATGAAAGAGCAGCCTTTAGGGTCTATTTAGCTCATTCCTTTTTTTAATAAGCAGAAAAAATTTAATTTATTTAAATAAATTAAACTATTTAAATAGAGAGAGCTTAATTAAATTATTTAAATCCTACGCCCTATTTTTTTGAATAAGTAAGGCGTCGGATTTAAATAATTTAATTGGCTCTGTGCTTGTCTATACTCACCTCCCACCACAATTAAATTAATTTAAACGATTTAAACGATTTAAACGATTTAAACGATTTAATTGGGTCCAATTAAATCGTTTAAATCCTACGGTCCAATTAAATTATTTAATTGAGGCGTCGGATTTAAACGATTTAATTGGGCCCAATTAAATTGTTTAAATCCTACGGTCGAATTAAATTATTTAATTGAGGCGTCGGATTTAAACGATTTAATTGGACCCAATTAAATCGTTTAAATCCTACGGTCTATTTAAATTATTTAATTGAGGCGTCGGATTTAAACGATTTAATTGGACCCAATTAAATCGTTTAAATCGTTTAAATCGTTTAAATCGTTTAAATTAATTTAATTGTGGGGGGACTCAGCCAAGCCATAAACCAATTAAATCATTTAAATCCTACGGTCTAATTAAATTATTTAATTGAGGCGTCGGATTTAAATAATTTAATTGGCTCTGTGCCTGTCTGTACTCACCTCCCACCACAATTAAATTAATTTAAACGATTTAAACGATTTAAACGATTTAAACGATTTAAACGATTTAATTGGGCCCAATTAAATCGTTTAAATCCTACGGTCCAATTAAATTATTTAATTGAGGCGTCGGATTTAAACGATTTAATTGGACCCAATTAAATCGTTTAAATCCTACGGTCGAATTAAATTATTTAATTGAGGCGTCGGATTTAAACGATTTAATTGGACCCAATTAAATCGTTTAAATCGTTTAAATCGTTTAAATCGTTTAAATTAATTTAATTGTGGGGGGACTCAGCCAAGCCATAAACCAATTAAATCATTTAAATCCTACGGTCTAATTAAATTATTTAATTGAGGCGTCGGATTTAAATAATTTAATTGGCTCTGTGCCTGTCTGTATTCACCTCCCACCACAATTAAATTAATTTAAACGATTTAAACGATTTAAACGATTTAAACGATTTAATTGGGCCCAATTAAATCGTTTAAATCCTACGGTCCAATTAAATTATTTAATTGAGGCGTCGGATTTAAACGATTTAATTGGACCCAATTAAATCGTTTAAATCCTACGGTCTATTTAAATTATTTAATTGAGGCGTCGGATTTAAACGATTTAATTGGACCCAATTAAATCGTTTAAATCGTTTAAATCGTTTAAATTAATTTAATTGTGGGGGGACTCAGCCAAGCCATAAACCAATTAAATCATTTAAATCCTACGGTATAATTAAATTATTTAATTGAGGCGTCGGATTTAAATAATTTAATTGGCTCTGTGCCTGTCTGTATTCACCTCCCACCACAATTAAATTAATTTAAACGATTTACACGATTTAAACGATTTAAACGATTTAAACGATTTAAACGATTTAATTGGGCCCAACTAAATCGTTTAAATCCTACGGTTGAAAATTAGATTTATTTTAATGAGGCGTTTCGATTTAAACGATTTAATTGGACCCTATTAATCGTTTAATCATACGGTCGATTAAAAGTATTTAATTAGGCGTTCGGGATTTAAGCGATTTAATTGACCCAATTTTAAATAGTTGAATCGTTTAAATGTTTAAATTAAATTTATTGTGCTGGGGACTCAGCCAAGCAATAAACCAAATTAAATCATTTTTAAAGCCTTACGGTCTAATTAAATATTCATTGAGGCGTCGGATTTAAATAATTTTAATTGGCTCTGTGCCTGTCTGTATTCACCTCCCACCACAATTAAATTAATTTAAACGATTTAAACGATTTAAACGATTTAAACGATTTAATTGGGCCCAACTAAATCGTTTAAATCCTACGGTCCAATTAAATTATTTAATTGAGGCGTCGGATTTAAACGATTTAATTGGACCCAATTAAATCGTTTAAACCCTACGGTCGAATTAAATTATTTAATTGAGGCGTCGGATTTAAACGATTTAATTGGACCCAATTAAATCGTTTAAATCGTTTAAATCGTTTAAATCGTTTAAATTAATTTAATTGTGGGGGGACTCAGCCAAGCCATAAACCAATTAAATCATTTAAATCCTACAGTCTAATTAAATTATTTAATTGAGGCGTCGGATTTAAATAATTTAATTGGCTCTGTGCACTGGCTGTACTCACCTCCCACCACAATTAAATTAATTTAAACGATTTAAACGATCTAAACGATTTAAACGATTTATTTGGGCCCAATTAAATTGTTTAAATCCTACGGTCGAATTAAATTATTTAATTGAGGCGTCGGATTTAAACGATTTAATTGGACCCAATTAAATCGTTTAAATCCTACGGTCTATTTAAATTATTTAATTGAGGCGTCGGATTTAAACGATTTAATTGGACTCAATTAAATCGTTTAAATCGTTTAAATCGTTTAAATTAATTTAATTGTGGGGGGACTCAGCCAAGCCATAAACCAATTAAATCATTTAAATCCTACGGTCCAATTAAATTATTTAATTGAGGCGTCGGATTTAAATAATTTAATTGGCTCTGTGCCTGTCTGTACTCACCTCCCACCACAATTAAATTAATTTAAACGATTTAAACGAATTTTTTTTTAAACGATTTACGTTTTGTTTTTTTTTTTTTTTTTTTTAAGCGATTAATTGGGCCCAATTAAATCGTTTTTAAATCCTCGGTGATTAATTATTTAATTGGGGCGTCGATTTTTTTTTAACACGATTTAATTGGAACCAGTTTTAAATGTTTAAATTCCTACGGTCTAATAATTGTTTAATGAGGCGTCGGAATTTTTAAACGATTAATTGGGACCCAATTAAATCGTTTTTAAATCGTTTGAAATTATTTAATTGACTAGCCAAGCCAAAACCTAAATGATTTAGGTTGGGTGGAGGGGCCTGGAGGGGTTGGAGAGGCTGGAGGGGCTGGAGGAACTGGAGAACTGGAGGGCTGGAGAACTGGCTGAAGGGGCGCCTGGAGGGGCTGGCTGGAGGGGCGGGCTGGAGGGGCTGGCTGGAGGGCTCTGCAGGGGCTGGAGGGGTTGGAGGGGCTGGAGGGGAGGGGCTGGAGGGCTTGTGCTTTAACCCCTCCCTCTCCCCTACCCCTCCCCACCCCTCCCCCAATTTACCACCTCACTTCGCAGAGCGCCACCCCACGCACCGCGTCGCACTTGCAACCTGCTCCCCTACCCCATCACCCCCAACAAGCCCCCTTGCCACAATTTACTACACCCACACCGCTCGCACCTAACCCCTCCTACCCCTCCACTCCAAACTACCAACCTGAAGTTATCATAATTATGATGACTTCAACTTCCCCATCATAAGTTATCATAATTATGATAACTTTAACTTCCCGATCTAAACTATCATAATTATGATAACTTTAAGTTCTTTATCTCAGAGTATGATAAATATGATAAGCAACTTTTCATAACTATGATCAGTTATCATAATTATGATAAGTTATCATAAGTTATCATACTTATGATAAGGTATCATAATTATGATAAATTGTCATAGTTATCACAAGCTATCCTCCTCGCCCTTTCCCGTTAAAAGTGCTTACGGCTTAAAGACCTTAGTACAAAAAACTGTACTAAAGCTCAAAGAAAACAATGCTTATGATGCAGAGACTTTGGTACACTATGATGCGTCAAGACACAATGAAATTATGCTTGCGATCTAGACAGTGCGCCCTTTGAGATAGTTGAGAAAGAAAAAAATTGGCCGCGTGCCAATATTAATTGCTTGTAACGGGGCCGCGGCCCACATGCGCGACATACCCCGCTACAGGGGGTATGTATCAATGGTCGAAGTTTTGCGACAGACCTGTTTGTTGTTGTCTGCAGGTTCCAAGTCTTGCTTATCGGGGGGGTAAGTGTTCGTAAGTTTCAAGGAGCAAATACAAGTATCCCTGAATTTGAAACCCCCTTAAACTCTTAAAGGCTGAGAACGCGGAGTGGTTCCAAGTCTTGCTTATCGGGGGGTAAGTGTTCGTAAATTTCACCAAAAACATGACAATTTTTCCGCTGAATATGTGTCAGTAGAGCCGTGCTACCACAAAAAAGCATGACACATTTTTCGCGGAATATGTGTCACCAGAGTTCTCTAAGCACCATAAACATGACATTTTTTCCGCGGAATATGTGTCAGTAGAGCTGTGCTAGCACAAAAAAACATGACACATTTTCCGCGGAATATGTGACAGTAGAGCCGTGCTAACACAAAAAAGCATGACACATTTTCCGCGGAATATGTGTCACCAGAGTTCTGCTAACACAAAAAGCATGACACATTTTTCGCGGAATATGTGTCAGTAGAGCCGTGCTAACACAAAAAAGCATGAGAAGGGCACCTATCTGTGAATAGCAAGATTGGTATTTCTAATTAGGGAGAGGCAAGGGAGATATGTAAAGCTTTAATTAAATAATTTACATAATTAAAACAATTTAAATAGTTCAAATAATGTAAATAACTTATATAGTTTAAATAATTTAAATCCGAGAAGGGGGGGGGAACCACCCTCCCCGCCCCCTAAGAATTAAATAATTTAAATAATTTCTATCCGAAACCTCCCCGTCGTACTTAAATTAATCATTATTAAATTCTTGAGAGGGGGGGAAGCTCCGGGCAAAACTTGGCCAAATCGAGCCGCGCCTTTCTCATCGCATACGAAGAGCTGCCCGATTTGGCCAAATTTTGCCCGAAGGCTGCCCGGCAAAATTTGGCCAAATCGAGCC